CCATCATCATAACCATATAACCATCATCAGCAGCAGCAGAAGCAGAAACAAAATTGTCATTTTAGTAATAGCATGTAATAACTAGTATTGTAGTTATTATTACTGTTTTTGTTTTGATGATGCGGGATGAGGATGGGGATGATAACCACCGTGGACTTTCTTCCACTTGCCACAAGTCATGCAAGCATGGGTACGTCTTGACAATCAAATATCCAATGCTCGAACTGGTCACGGGTCCACATGGGGAGACAGCGCGGAACCCTGTCTCAGGAATTTGGGCCTGGGACCCAGCAAAAGATGAGGTAGATCAGTTTCTGGTAATCGTCGCAATCAAAAAACGCACTGAATGCCATGTTTCCAAAACTATTTGCGGATCGGATTAGCATAAATTATCTAAGACCTAAGGTTCCAAAGGGCTGTCCGACTAAGATTTGCATCATGTATGATATTTTTTTTATTCACTGGCTGCGTGCTCTGGATCAACAAAATGGCATGTATAAGTCGACTAAAAATGAATATTTATGGGAAAATATTTTTGAAGCTAAACCAGGTGGTGTTAGATGATGTTAGTAGTACTAGTAGTACACTAATACATTATTATGATTACAATCATCATCAAAATCATAACATGCCACATGTTGCTTCCCCAAACTTCGGTCAGACGGCCAGAGCGCTAAGGTGAAAGTAAATGGTTCTGCCCAGACAGATGAGGCACTCGGGGGTTGGAACGGTTGGACTTTGGGATCTCATTGGTGAACCAATGTGGTTTGGTTAATTTCCAATTTGTCGTTTACACATGTTTTCTTGAACAAAAATCACCATTTTCTGTTTGATAAATTCCCCGTTTGTACAATTCATATCCTCTTTATATACGTATATATATATATATACTCACAATATATATATATATACATATCTCTCTCTCTCTACATAAAATATTTACATATATCTACATATCTTTGCTGCGTAACCCCCACATTTTCTTCAGGGGCGCCCTCCTTTCCTTCCATCGCGCCAGAAAAGTACGAAGCAGGGCCTCCCTGCTGAAGGAGCTCCGTGCAGGGCAGGGGAAACGACCTCACTGCGACCGAAACCCGGGAATGATGGTTAGTAGGGGTGACTATCCCGAAATGACCTCATTTCAGGTTAGCGAATTATTATGATATATATGATATATATGATATATATGATATATATGATATATATGATATATATGATATATATGATATATATATGATATATATTATGAAACTGGTAGCAAGCCCACAAGAATCTCAAACAGCACCAAAATGGTTGTTGGATGACCTTGAACCCCAAGGATATGAGATAGGTGGCCCCTGGCCAAAATGGATAGATCGGCCTCCTGGCCCCAATCAATACGCGCACACCGACGCCATTCCTTTTGCCACCACTGCGACCCCCTGGTCGTATTGAGCCTAGATGTCATATGCATCCAGGTGTCCACATGCGAATCCCTGCACTGGAAATGGTTGGAGAAAGCACACTCGTCAAAAATAGTTCTGTAACCAAATGAGTCAGAAAAAAAATAAAATCCAAACGCCATTGTATCGAGTAGCAGACTTCCAAAAACAGCTCCAGACAAAGCCTGTATTTGGGATATTGCTATGTGGTATCGACCTTCCCCATGGTGGTAATTTGATCTTGTTCGACCCATGCTTTCTTAGAACGTTTGTCTGCTCGTGCTCGGAGAATTTCATCCACGTCATGGATGATACATCGTCCAGTTTGCAGGAATTTTCGGAGATTGGAACAATCCATGTGCTTGGTCAAGCTGTCTGCCAACTGTGCCGCTGAATGAACCCATTTGACCACTACCCCTTCCTTTAGTCTATCTTTGATTATCAACGCCTCAAGCATGACTCTATGTTCTTGACACTGTGGAATCGTTGTTTTCTGTATAAGGTCATACAGGCTCTTGCAATCAACAACAGCATAGGCTTCAGGAGATTGGGATAGGCAGGTTTCCGGGTCTTTCCAAGCTGAACTCGGTTGGCAAATCCAGGCCCAGTGTATCCGTAACCACGACAAAAGGTCTACAGAACCACTAAGAGCATATGTCTCAGAAGCTAAAGTGCTTCCCACGACTCTGGCTATTTTCCTGGAGTACCACATCAACGGACTCACAAGACTGGATTGCCATTCGCCAATTTGCTTTGATGCTGCCAGAATCAGGCAACCTTTTTGCGATTGAGCATTTGCCCGATTGGCAAACGAGGCATCCGAGAATGACACAAACCGTAAGTCTTGTATGGGAATACTTTGAAGGGTTACCTTGGTGTTCTTATGAATTTTGGCTTCTGTTAAAAGGCGGTTGGCTTCATGTAGTTCTTGGATGGTGGCACTGTTGATTTTGGCTTGTAATAAACTGAGCTTTGCTGACAGATCGGGACGTGTGTTGGTTGCCGCATATTGTATGCTGCCTACTAGGCCTCGGAGTGCTTGTCGCTCGGCTTCCGTGACTGGGGTTTCGGGAGTCAGTCTACGTTCACGACTGATGTCAATGGATGGTATGTCTTCCACATATTGTGTTTGGTCCAATTCAATTGAGCCATCCCATTGCTGAACAACATGTATTCCAGTGAAAATAAACTCTGTCTCCTTTTTGCTGCCAAACGGATACTTTTGCTCCAGCTTAGCTATGGCTGTGTCGAACATTTGATCCCCAGCTCCAAGACCATCATCTACATGTATTCCTACCACGCCATGGATGCCCTGGCCACTGGCTTTGGGGAGGACAAATAGACATGGATCAAGTGGAGACATGACGAAATTGAGGTTGAGGAGTGCCGTCTTAAGTTCTTCATACCATAGTAAGGGTGCGTTCACGAGACCATACGCACTTTTC